CAAGTCAGCAAGTGAGCAATGTGGGGAGGAGAGGCTGGGCACAGGAGTGATGCACAGAGCTCAAACATCACCTGCCTTGGCAATTACCTCCCTCAGGCAGCCACTGCCACTCTGCTCTGGGAGCTGGGGCAGTCTGTGTGGAGCTCCAGGATGACCCTCATGGCTCTGCTCCACCTCCTCACCAAGCACAGCTGACCTGCTCTCACATGGTCATTTTATCAACACAGAGCAGCTATGGCTGCCCCTGGATCCCTGGAAGTGTCCAAGGCCAGGGCTTGGACAGGGCTTGGAGCAATCTGGGGTAGTGGAAGGTCTCCCCATGGCAGGGGTTGGGATGAGATAGTTTTTAGGGTTCCTTTCAAACCAAACTACCCTAGGATTATATGATTCTATGACTCTGTTTTTATATATGGATTTATTTTTATCACACTGAACTCCAGACACAGCCAGGAATCTTCTGTCAGCTTGCTGATCCCTTCTGAAATCGGGTATGGGAGTGCATGGTTAGCAGTGTCAGAACAGAACCCAGTAAAATACAGCAAGGAGAGAGGCACCACCAGCACAGAGAGAGTGGGATTCCACTGGAGCAGAGGGATCATGGCAGGGTGACATGGCCTTGCTGTCACCATAAGCATCACCCCAGAGAGGTCTCCTGGCTGCAGCCAGCAGACTTGGGGAGGTCCCTGCACACTTAGGAATGAGACCAAACCCTTGGGATAATGCACAGATGGGCTCTACCAAGGTCCTACCTTGGCTCCAGCTCGTGTGGCACCCAGAACCCAGAGCAGGATACTCACACCCATGGACTGGTGCTGCTCTGGGGTAAGGCAGTTTCTGCCCTCCTCAACATCCCTGCAGTGACCAGCAGGGACAGGAGGCATTTCTGGGTTGATCATTATTTCTTGGAATAGGAAAACCTGGGCAGGTACCTGCCAGCTGGTGCCAGCCCAGCACTGTCAGTGACTCCAGTGAGCACCAGGTGTGACCAGGTCTGTGCCACACAGTGACTTCCTCCCCTCACTGCCTCCCTCCCCAGGCTCTGCTATCCCAATCCACCTTGTCTCTGCCATCATTGCTTTGTCAGGCAGGGATTTCCTCTGCTCAACTCATCTGTAGAACTCCCAAGACAAACAGAGTCTAAGTGTTTCCTGCAGGGCAGAGACATTTCATATCAGAATCACTGCATGGAAAAACACCATACACAAATAATAATAATTAAAAAATAAATTAGTGCATGAGAGTACGGAGTAAAATTAATTAGTGCAGAGGCAGGAAAGCAATACAACCCCGAGTCACCTACTTGAAACCTGCAGGAACTGCAGTGAGCAGAAGTGTCTGGGCAGCTGGGGCAGCACCAGGGATGCCATGGCAATGCCAAGGGCTGCTCTCCTCCATCTCCCCTGCACAAACTGGTGACTCCTCTGCAATGCTCAGACAGCAGCACATCATTTAAGAGCAGCAGAGGGATCAGGGCAGAGACCTCAAACCAAGCTGGCTCAGCATGTGGGACCCTGGGCACTGCTGGCTCCTCCTCAGAGGCAGCAGGGTCTGTGCCATAACACCACAAAATGAGTGGGCAATGCCAGAACGACTGGCCTAGATACAGAGAACTTGAAATTCCCATGGGGAAAAGGGAAGAGCACAATTCCCTCAGAGCCCTGCTGCAATCTGCACTGACTGTCCCAGCAACCACCACAGAGAGTGACTCAGCCCTGCTGACCTCTTTTAATGCTCCATAAGGTTAATGCTGAGTTTAACAGGGTTAATTCTGCCTTTAATGACCAGTTTTCCAGTGAAGGCAAGGAGATCAGCACAATCTGTAACTCAGCCATGTCTCACTTCTCTCCCCAGCAAGGGACACTGCAGAAGGTCCCATCCCTGCTCCTGCTGCCCATCTCAAGAGCCAGCTGGGCACAAAACCAAAACAATCCCTTGGCCATCACCAAGTGACCCCAAACAACATGCCCAAGGTCTCAGAGCACAGCCCCAGCCTGTCTCTGTCACAGCTGGAGTGACTGGGACAAGGCAGGGATCCGAGTGAGAGACAGATGTCAAAAGCAATCAGCCGCTCCCGTGTCTCCAGGCAGGAATGCTGACAGCACTGCAGCCCTTGGAGGAGTTAAAAGGAAAAGCTTATTAGAAAGAAAACTCGTTCTGACAATCGCAAAAATTGGAATTCATTTAAAATTCAAATTATGCAAATTCCAGTAATCTGTACGTGCAGATCCATCGCACAGCAGAGAGGGGCTGTAGACAAATGCCACCAGTGACATGGCTGGAGAAATCTCCCCCTCCCCAGTGCTCTGGGAGGCAGGCAGGTGTGCTGGCCTCAGGCAGGCAGGGGAGGAGAGGCTGCTCTGGGGCCAGGCTGGATTTGCAGGTGCTCCCTCTGCACTGAAGATGCTTCAGCAGCCCTGGCAGCATCTAGCATGTCATAGCCAGGGGAGCAGGGAAGCCATATTCCAGTATTTTCACATAAATTATAGCAAATTCTCCCTTGGACAAGCTCAGGTGCCCATGAGCAGCACAAAGCCTTCGTTAGGCAGCACCTAATCACATGGATGTGAGGTGGTCACACAGCACTGCGTGCATGTGGGCAGCAGGTCTGCCCTGTCACCACCCACCCTGCCCTCTCCCACCCAAAGCCTCAAGGGCCTCCCCTCTCTCAGCAATTCCCAAAATTCTATTTTTGAGGAAACTGAAAACCAACCCAAACAGCTGCAAAGGTGGCTCAGATTGTCAGCACAGAAAGAGCAAAGCCAGAAACCCTCATTACAGGCTGGGGAAGTGCAACAGCCCAGAAAAATGAATCCAGATTCTTCCTAAAAGATGGGCCACTGTGATATGGTAAATCATGCTCCCTCCTGTGGGTGCTGTGCCATGCATGAGGAGAGCAGATCCCACCTGGCATTGATTCCCTTTCAGCCAGGGCTGGGCAGAGCCGGTGGCACACAGGGCCAGGGCACAACACGAGCCCAGGGAAGCTGCAACACCTCCAGCACAGAGATGGAAACTAACTAACCCAGCCATGGGAGCACACAGAGCCCACAACTTTCCTTGGAAATCATTTCCCCAGCTTGGCAGGATCTCTGCTTTGAACTTACAAACCTGGCTGTGGGCTGTGTTGGGAATGATGGTCCTGTCCTGGCCCAATCCTCAGCCAGTTCACCTTCCTCCACACTTTCTGCCAGTTCACCTTTCTCCACACTTTCTGCCAGCTCACCTTCCTCCACACTTTCTGCCAGCTCACCTTCCTCCACACTTTCTGCCACTGCTGAAGGGCCCTCTGGAAACCCTTTCCAAGTAGGATGAGTCTGCTTTTCTCAGCAGGTCTCACAAGGTCAGAGCCCATGGCTGAGTCTACAGCAACAGCTTTTACGCTGGAAGGAGCCAGGAATTATTTAGCAAGGAAAAAACCCCACATCCCACAGAAAACCTGCTCTCTTCCTTGACAGCCAGCCAGCTCTGTGGGTACACCAAGGAAAGCTAAAAAAAACCTCAAAACCTGAGTAAGTCAAAGGCCAAATCAAACTGGCCACAGACAGCACAGAGAGGTGCTGGCATGGCACTGAGCAGGAAGGGACAGGGGCTGCTCCACAGGAAGGGCAGAACCCAGCTCTCTGTAGGTACCAGGACACTGTGCTTAAAACCCAAGTGCCTCCACACCTTTTGTCACCATCTCCACTGCAGCACAGAGGCTATGGGGAACAGGTCCCACAGAGACACTGGTAAACACATCCCCAAAAGACAATGGTCCCCAACATCTCAGTGCCCTCCTGTCCCTCCTGGGTACAGCTTGGAGCCACAGATCCAGGCAGACAGAAAAAGCAGACAGTTCCTTACCCCACAGCAGGGCCGCCTCATCTTAAACATCTCCAGCATCTTTCAGCAACTCATCAGGTGCCCCATCCTGCTTGTGCTCATCACCATCCCTGAGGTTTCAAGAGCTTCCTGAGCCCGAGGCAGCAGTTCCCACAGAGAAGGTTCACTGGCAGTGCTGGGACTGTGACAGCTTCCACAGACTCACCCACAGCCCTCACTGCTGGCCCCAGCACGCTCCGAGACCAGAGGTGCCCTCCCAGGGCAGAAGCAGTGGCTACATCCAACAATGCAGGCACAAGAGGGAGGGTGAGCTCCCAGACCCACACACACTGCCCAAGTGCACCAGGAGAAACCCCCAGTGTGACCCCAGAGGGACCAGCCCTTCCCCTGGGGCAGAGGAAGCCTGTGCACAGCTTGGGGCAGGTGAGCTGTGCAGCCTCAGCCCATTCCCTGCTCCATGCCCATTGTACTGGCTCTCTCAGCCATTGCCAATCAACACCGAGTGCTTCTCATCCCCGCGGCACCTGAGCCCTCATTACAACCCCGAGCCGCTAACGAGGCGGGGGAGGGACACCCGAGCCGCGGAGTTCGGTGTCTCTGCGAAAGAGAAGAGGCAGAGCCCATTAAACATTGATCAGAGGCTGCCACAGCTGCGGTGCAGCCCTGGCGCATCCCTGCTGTCCGGCCACCAGGAGCTCCCGAGGGCCAGGGGGCTCCTTGCTGCCCCAAGGATTCGGTGCTGGCTCCTTGCTGCCCCATAGACTCGGTGCTGGCTCCTTGCTGCCCCAAGGATTCGGTGTTGGCTCCTTGCTGCGCCAGCCCCTCACTGCTGGCCCCTGACAAACCTCTGGAAAGGTGCAGTTCCTCACAGACACGAATCCGAGGACAGGAAAACTAATTTCCTCCTTTCAGCCTGGTTCCATGCTTTGCACAGCAGTGCCTGGAGTCCAGGCCCTTGTCCCCCCTCACCCAGCAGCCACCCTGAGCCCTCAGAGCCAGGAGGACAGGACCCCAGGAGAGGGGCTCTGTCACGGGCTGGGCAAAGCCAAGCTGCCACCACCATCTGCTCCTCCACTCTGGAGCAGCCTCTCTTTCTGTTGTTTTACTCATGCTGGGCACAGAAATAGCTCTCCAAGATGTCAGTGTGTTTGGGAACCGTGTGCGGGGCCAATACTCACGAACTGCCGCCGCAGCTTGGTCCTGACGCGCTCGGCCTTGCTCTCGGCCGGGTGCACGGCGTAGCTCAGCGAGCCCAGGTGGTTGTCCACGGACAGGCTCTTCCTCATGTAGAAGGAGCGCGTGCGGAAGTAGCTGAACGGGGCGTCCTCCACGGCCGTGCCCAGCTGGGGGGCCCTGGGCGGCTCCGAGCAGTCATCCTCCAGCCGCCAGGCCTCCCCTGCCCGGGAGAAGGAGATGTGTCCCCATCAGAGCATGATCAGACCTGCCCTACCCCCTGAGACAGCTCTGGGGATGCCCAGTGGGTATCCCTGGACCCCCTCTGGCTGTCCCACATCCATCCCACCCCATCCCATGGGGTACAGGCACTGGGAACTTACTCAGATGGCATCTCCCTCCCACAAATCCCCACATACCCCCTGCCCCAGACAACAGCCCTGCACTCAGGTATGCCCACCCAGGTATGCACAGCCCCCACCATCTCCTGGCAGGAATCAGCCAAATACAGTTAGAATCATGGAATGCTTTTTGCTGGAAGGAAGCTTAAAGCTCATCTCATTCCAACCCCCTGCCATGGGCAGGGACACCTTGCACTTCATCAGGTTGCTCCAGCCCTGGTCCAACCTGGCCTTCAAGCTTTGCTTTGTGAATGAGAAAAATGAGGCATCAATAAGTGTTAAAAATGACAAAAGAATTTACTGCCATCTTCTCCTACAGAAAAAACACCCCAAAACACTTTATGGCACAGCCAGCAGCAAATCAAGAGCCCCATGAAGGACAGAAGCCAGATCTCCCTTCTCCACCTGCCCGTCACCAGCAGCAACAGGATGCAGCAGTGCAGGGCTGAGAGCCCCAGGGACAAACCTCACTAACACTGCCACAGTGGTGACAGCTGGCACCATGCAGGGCTGGTGATCCCAGGGCAGGACTGGCCACTGCAACAAAAGGGAAAAACCAACACAACAACAGAAGATGTCTCCAGAATATCACTGCTGCACTCTTTTCCCTTCGGCTCAGATTGTCACCTGCTTTTTGTTGCCAATCTCCTCTTTACATCTGGAGCTTGCCCTCCCTCCTCCCCTCAGCCAAAATCACTGCTCAAGCCATGACAAACAATCAATAAAAGCCTCAATCTTGAAACCTTCTCAATTATTAGCCCAAAAGAGCATCTCACAGGACTGCCTCCAGGGGCTCTCACCCTTCTGCAGCCTCTTACCAAGGCAACATCCTTCGCCTCTCATTGCTGAAAAACCCAGCACCTTCGAGCATGAACGACCATGATCCTGCTACACCAGGGCTGAGGAGCAAAACACTTCTGGGGTTTAAAGCAGATAATGGCCCTAAGCCCCAGTTCAGCAGCACAGTCCAGTTTACCCAGCAAGGCTGTGGGGTTTACATGGAACATAGTGAGACACAGGCTGGACTCCAAGCCACCAGAAGAGGAACCACTGACACAGACTGCCAGAGGGCAAGATTAGATGGGATATTGGGAAGGAATTGTTCCTTGTGAGGGTGGGGAGGCCCTGGCACAGGGTGCCCAGAGAAGCTCTGGCTGCCCATGGATCCCTGGAAGTGTCCAAAGCCAGGCTGGATGGAGCTTGGAGCAGCCTGGGATGGTGGGAGGTGTCTCTGCTCAGGACAGGGCATGGAACAAGATGACCTTGAAAGTCCCTTCCAACTCAAACCCAAACCATTCCATGAAAGAGACAACCCAGAGCACAGCACTCCGAGCATCGTGTAGATTTTTTCTCCCCTAGTTTCAATTTAATAAGCTGCTGCTGCTCCTCTCCAAATGTCACCTCACACAACACAGGAACTGCTGTTTGAAAGCTGTGATTATTCCATGCACAAACACGTCAATCGGAGGCAGATCCAGGCTGCCATTGTGAGACAGCATCGCTCTGGGAGTGCAGCAGGAACACTGACACACCAGAGGCAGGGGACACGCAGGGAAACCACACTGAAAGGAGAACCTGCTCTCGTGCTCACCTGAGATGTCCCAGCCACTGCCTGTGCCACCTGTGTCCTCAAGACTGTCCCCTCCCAGCCCCAGAGCTCACCCAGACACAGCCCCCACTGCTCTGCTGCCCTGAGCAAGGGAGGGCCAAGGCCAGGTGGTGAATGAGGGAAAGGATTCACCTGCTGTACCCACCTGCTCCTCTGTGCAGGGCACCTCACCCAGGGACGAGAAGCTGGGTTTCAAATCCTACAGAACAGCTGTGCCACATCTGCTCTCCCTGATCCCAGCTCCCCAAGGATTTTTGCAGCTTTTGGTCTTGTCTCTCATCTGCAGGAGCTGAGTTCTCCAGCAGGAGCTGGACCAGAGGCAGCTGCTCCCTGGCCTGCCTAAGGGGTGATCCTCACCAAACTGGGTCCTTCCTCCCTGCACGGAGGGAGCCACCACAGGACCTTGTCTATCCCAAAATGCTTTTCTACCTGCTAAAGGAGCTTGTTCTGACTGCTACCAAACAAGTAAATCAATGATCAAGCCCAGAATGGCCAGAAGGGGAAGATCAAGAAGTCAGAGAATCAAAGACTGGTTTGGGCTGGAAGGGAAATAAAAGCTCATCTCATTCCAACCCCTGCCACAGGCAGGGATGTCACTCACTAGATCAGGTGGCTCAGGACCCCATCCAACCTGGAGAGAAAATGCCAGGAACAGAAGCAAACCCACAGACTGGAGGCCAACAATCGTCATGCTCTTGTGTCTTGGAGCTGCTCACCCCTCTGCCACTCAGAGCTGTGCCCTCAACATCAGCACCTCTGGAAGATCTCCTGACCATCTCCTGCAACAACAATTCCTGAAAACCCTTTTTTCTCTCTGAATTTGAGGTGCTGGGGAGGACACACATCAAAGGATGGAGGGAACAGCAAGGACAGAGACCCGATGCCTCTCCAGTACATCCTCTACAAGTAGAAGAAAAATTAATTCCAGGGTCCTGGTCTAAGCTCAAATCCAGCTGCTTCCTTGTGGCTTCTTTATTTTCCTCCCATGGGCACAATTCCCACAATAAACTCACACCAGCCATGCTATGAGTTAACTTCTTCCCAGATCCACAGCAGGGCATGGAGCCAGCTCCTGAAGAGCTCTGCATGTTCCTGACAGACAAGAGAGAGTGGAGGCAGGGAAGAGCTCCAGAGTGGTCTGCTCCTTCCAGGTGCCAGAGGAGGGAACTGCAAGGGACCAGGCATGTAAACCATGCAGAGTTTCTGTGCAGGCTGCAGCTCAGGGCTGCTGCAGTGCTCAAAGGCTGAGAAGAAGCCCCTGCCTGATGTAGAAGGAAGAGGTGAGAGAGCAAAAGGAGGGCTATTCCTCAGTCCCACTCCTAAATCTCCACACTGGAACAAGGGATAAGAAGCAACAGGCAGATCATTGCTCTGTGCCACCAGCATGTGTGAGACGTCCTGGCAGAGTGCAGTGTGACACCCAAGGGACAATGGCTTGGACAAGGCAGGCACTGTCCCCTGTCCAGTCAAGCCCCCTTTGTGTTTGTCTTTCCCTCTCCAGGGCTTGGAGACATAAGGATGTGGGGTTAATACTGGAGCTGTTTCAGGCTGTTTCAGTTGAAGGATATAGGATGGGGAGGAAGAGCTCACAACCTGTCCAGCTGACCCCAGTACTGTTATGGGTGTCCTGCAGGGAAAAACAAAACCAGACCAGCAGGAAACCCAGACCTGCTGACCAGCCCAGCCAGTTCCTGAGCTCATGGAATGAGGTGGAAGGTTGTTTTGAAGGGAAAGAAGGGCTCTGGGAGGCTCAGCAGCCACGGGCTCAGCTCTTCTGCCCATCTTCAGGGTCCCAGCTCCCCCCCAGGCACCTTGGTGTCCTCACAAGGACCTGCAGAGGAGCTGTGGTTCCACAGCAAGACATCCTCCTGTGACCTCCTGTCAAGTGCCAGAGCACATCCCTCCTCCAGTGCTGACACACTGGAACCATGGGACACAAAGGAAAAGGCTGAGGAACACGTCCCAGTGGTCACATGAGGATGTCACATCTCATCCATGCCAGACACAATCACATCTTCCATCTTGCTTGGAGATTCCTCTGCTCGTGGCCCCCAGAACAGCATTGAGCAGAGTGCAGTTCCTCTCCACAGCCATGAACACCTGAAGATGAGTTCATCACCTCTCTGAAGGACAACCCTTCTCCTACCATGTCCCTGTGCATGAGCCCCTTCTGAGCTGGTTTTGGTCCTGTGTCCCCCACCTTGAATGGGGGGTGGTAGTGCCTGCTCACAGCAAATCCACCACTTCTTTAGGGAAAGGACCTTATCCAAGAGGGATGAAATGGTTTGGGTTGGAAGGGACCTTAAAGCACATCTCATTCCAGCCCCTGCCATGGGCAGGTACACCTTCCACTATCCCAGGCTGCTCCAAGCCCTGTCCATCCTGGCCTTGGACAGTTCCAGGGATCCATGGGCAGCCATAGCTTTCTGGGGACCCTGTTCCAACTTCTCTCCATCCTGATGCCCAGCAGCCCAGCTCTTGCTCATAAATCCTTACAGGAATCCTGCATTCCTGGTCAGCATCCCAGGGCTTGTTAACCTTCAGCACCACATGCTGCTCCATTCCCTCTGTGCTGTCCAAATGTCCTACCCTGCCAGCAGTGGCATCTCTTCTTTTTCTGCTCCGGGACATCATCCTGACAGCCTTCATAAGTAAATAATTAGCAGTTTCTAATTGAGCCAAGAAAACAAAGTGGGAGAATCTGGACTGAAAACAACACACTCACTCATCCACTGCTCTGGCTGTGGAGGGAGCCCTCCAGTCTCCAAGGGTTTTCCTACTCCTGCTCCTCTTGGCACCCCTGGCCCCTTCCAGCCATGAGCAAAGGAAGATCTCAGACACTTCTTAGGTGCACTCAGAGTTTCCATGATTCCTGCTGTGCAGGAAGGGTGTGCATGGGGTTTGCTCCAGGACAGTTGTTCCAAGGAGCACGAGCCTGTCTGCACTCCCAGGACAGCAGGAGTCTGCAGCAGGAGGTGAGGTGTTTGCAGTGGGGCTGACCCACAGGGCAACATCACCCCACAGTCTCACCCCAGCCTCCCACTCCCGTCCTTCAGCTCCATCACAGCTCCCTGGAGGCACCAACAGAGCAAATGGGGACCTGCAGGTGTGCAAGGGAGCTCTGGATGCCATGTCCTTCGTGGTGAAGGCTACACAGCCTTCCCACAGGTTTCCATCCATTCCAAGACCCACTCTAACAATTTGATGGGCTGAAGGAAAACCCCCAGGTCCCACACATGGCAGCAGTGGCTCAGGTGCTGCAGGACACCCAGGAACTCTGTCACGACAGGAGTGGCAGGATGGGCTCAGCCATGTGCAGAGATCTGCTCTGTGCACAACTTTTGGGAGAATTAGTAGTATCAGGAAATGAAATGTAGCATGCAAAGCATCAAAATTAATCCAGGGTTTGGACAGCTGCTCTGCTGAGCAACACACGGATCTGACTGTGAGAGGGATAATTTAAAAAACCCCATTAAAATAAAAAAATCCAAGGGTGCTGTTTGAAGGGAGCTGTTTTATAAGGGTTTTATTCAACACTGGACTGTCAGCCCTGGCTTCCAGGCTTTATCTTTGTTTCAGTGTTAATAATCCCCCTTCCCATCACTTTTATGGTCCCAGCGTGATTCTGCTGGCACCAAAAGCACTGAAACACTTTGGCCATCAGCAGCTTTGCCAATAAACTTGCTCAGAGCAGCTGGCCCAGCAATATTAGTATTTCATCAGGATCAGCATGAGAGTAGAAGAACATTATAAAAATCCTTAGGGCTGCCCAAACACCAAAACACAGCGCTAGGCTGGGAGCATTTGCAAATTTCCAAGGCCAGGGCTGTGGGAAGAGCACAGTCATGATGTTCCTGCCACTGCTCCTGGTGCAGACCAGCTACAAGTGAAATAAGACAGAGGCACCTAGGCCTGGGCACTGGACAAGGAGGCCCCAGGGTGGTGGCTCACCCCAGCACCCTCAGGCAGAAGGCTCCAAGCATCACCCCTCCACCTCGGGTGGCTTCCAACAACCTGCTCTTCTTTTTCACCAGCATTATATGAAGGATGGGGAGGTTTAAGTATCAAGCACAAAGAAAGTCTCAACCAGGGGCAAAACCCCCAAAAGTTCACCAAGAAGTGCTATTTTCAGAGCAGAATAAACTCCAGGTGGGCTGGAGTGGGGTCTGTACCCCTGGAGAAGCGGGGAAGCTTGGCTGGGATCCCGTAGGCACAGAGGGGCGGGCGCACTCACCGGCAGAAGGCACCGTGCAGCCTTTCTGGTGCTCGGAGGCCGAGTGCTTCTGGTAGGGCTTCTGCTCCGGCATCTCGTCCCGGTAGGCGGCGGGCTCGAGCAGGGGCAGCCGGCTCAGCACCGGGGACTGCGGGATGCTGGGCAGCGTCCGCGACTTGCCCAGGAGCGGCCGCTGCAGCTTCCTGTCCAGGGACCTGCGGGGACACGGCGGGACAGGCCGTCAGGAGGTGGGACAGGACACAGGACACGGCGGGACAGGCATTCAGGAGATGGGACAGGACACGGGACACGGCGGGACAGGCATTCAGGAGATGGGACAGGACACGGGACACAGCGGGACAGGCCTTCAGGAGGTGGGACAGGACACGGGACACGGCGGGACAGGCATTCAGGAGATGGGACAGGACACGGGACACGGCGGGACAGGGCCTCAGGAGGTGGGACAGGACACGGGACAGGGCTTCAGCAGCTGCCATGGGATACAGCACAAGGGCCTTCAGCAGCTGGGACAGACAGGACACAGGACAGGTGTGTTCAGCAGCTGGGACGGGACACAGGACACAGGACAGGGGCCTTCAGCAGCTGGGACGGGACACAGGACATAGGACATGGACACAGGACAGGGCCTTCAGCAGCTGGGACAGGACACAGGCCTTTCAGGAGGTGGAATAGGACACAGGACACAGGCCTTTCAGGAGGTGGGATGGGACACAAGGCTTTCAGGAGCTGGGATGGGACACAGGGTTTCAGGGGGTGGGAGGGGTCCCTCAGGCCAGGACCCCTCTGTGACACACACACAGCCCCTGGCTGAGCATAGCTATGCCCTTCATGGAATCATGGAATTGTTCAGGTTGTGAAAGCCCTCCAGGATCAGTAAGTCCAACCCTTACCCCAGCACTAAACCATGCCCCTAAGTGCCACATGCACAGGTCTTTTCAACACTTCTGGGAACAGTTACTCCACCATTGCCCTGGGCAGCTGTTCCATGAAGAAATTTTCCCCAAGATCCAATCTGACCCTCCCCTAGCACAACTTGAGGCTGCTCCCCCTTGTCCTGTCCCTGTTCCCTGGGAGCACAGCCATGCCCCCCGGCTGTCCCCTCCTGTCAGGAGCTGTGCAAAGCCACAAGGGCCCCCCTGAGCCTCCTTTTCTCCAGGCTGAGCCCCTTCCCAGCTCCCTCAGCCCCTCCTGGTGCTCCTGACCCTTCCCAGCTCTGTTCCCTTCCCTGGACACGCTCCAGCCCCTCCATGTCCGTCTTGTCATGAGGACCCAGCACTGGAGGTGCCCCAGCAGTGCCCAGCACAGGGATGTCACTGCCCTGGGGCTGTGGCCACACCATGGCTGGTGCAGGCCAGGTGCCACTGGCCTCTTGCCCACCTGGCTAAGCACCACACTGCACCCTCTGTTAGCAAAGCTGCTGTTGTGCCAGTGAAGCCTTCTCCCCTGGCCACTGTAATTAGGATTAGCATCCTGAGCTGCAAGGCACAACCAGCACAAAAAGAATTCAAGACCCCAGCCCACCTCAAAACTCCCAGATAATCTGAATTAACCAAATAAAGAAACCAGAGGGTTCAAGAAGGGATAAAAAATTCCTTTGAGACAGTGAAACCCCCATTAAACATCATCCACAGCACCAGAAAGGGATTTGAGGTAGAAAACAGGACACTGAACAGGTACTAGGAAACTTCCACACTCCAGAAAGCCAGACTCACACAGAAGGGACTGCAGAGGTCCTCAGGGTGTCGTGGAACATGCAGAAACATAAATTCAATGTCTCTGCAAGGTCAAAACTCAACTGAGTTTGATGCTGGGGCTGCCAACCTGCCAGGGTGAGCAGGACACAGCCCACGTGTCAGGGTGACCACGCACAGCCACAGTCCCAAAGCCCAGGGGCAGCCCAGGGCCACAGGAGGCTCCTCAGGTGCCCTGCTGGGGATGACACCAGCCCCAGCAGCGCTCCAAGGAACCCAGAAATGCCATAGAAAGGAGCAGAGCCCAGCCCTGCTGTGGGGTGTCCTGGGCTGAGATTACCCCAAGGCTGTCCCTTGTTCCCTGCTCTCACAGAGCCCACAGCTGAGCCCAAATGAGCTCCCCAGGACACCCCAAGACTGTTCCAGAACCACAGAATGCTTTGGGTTGGAAAGGACCTTAGAGATGATATTCCAACGCCCTGCCATGAGCAAATCTCATAATGAACGGTACAGATCATTCAAATTTCCATCTAAAACACAATTCTTCACTGCTTATGCTCATTTGTTCTTGTGCCAATATTAACCTTTAGCTTAAATAATTATCCCCCCTCTACGGTGTTTGCTCCCATGATTAATTTCCATTATAATGAAGTCCCAGCCCCTTTCTGCCTGCCTTTTTCAAGGCTGATTAACACAAATTCTTTCAGTCTCCTCTCACAAAATTAGCTTTTATTTCCCCATGGATATTTCCACACCCCTCACTGCCCTCCCTCTCTCTTGGACTCAGCTTTTTCCACCCATTCTGGAGCATCACAGAATCCCAGGATGGTTTAGGTTGGAGGGGACCTTAAAGCCCATCCAGTGCCACCCCCTGCCTTGTCCAGGACAACTTCCACTGTCCCAGGT